ACATGCAAGCCTCGCATATAACTGGAAGCCAGTTGATGGCATGATCTTGCATGACCAGCCGCCGATGCAGCCTCGAGTCGCTATCAAGTCCTAGTTCACGGTGCCATCGTGAGGATCGCACATGCTCCAACCTAGTCTAGCAGCCTAGAAGATTTGCCAGCTCCTCTGGCGTCAAGGTGCTTTTTCTCCTCTTTGGCCTCCCACTGATTCGTGTCTTGACGGGAGATCTAGGTGCCCGCTTCTTAGGGTTTTCCTCGGACACTTCGGTGCTTTCGTCCGTCTTCTTGGTGGATATGTCTCCGTCGGTTACAGCGGCTGCTTCCGCGGCCTCTCGTAACTTGTCTTGGACCGACAGCTTCGGCGATCGCTCGTCGGGATGGGCACGTGGGCTCGACAAGCGCTTCTTGGTCTGTCGTAGATTGTCAGATCTGTTGAGGGATGGGTGTGGTGCTGATGGGCTGGAGATTGTGGATGGAGTGGACGTAGAGGGAAAGATGTCACAACGTACATGGCGTGGTCTGTCTTGACTCGTTGGTCTTGACGCTCGTTCTTCAGAACGAGGTGGTTTGGCTGCAGAGGTTGGCCGACTAGCCTTCTCTGCATCGACTAGATCTATCCCAGACGTGTCTGCGTTCTCTCCGTCCACCTGAGACGGTGTATTCGGTATGGACGTCGAGAAGGCGACTTTGCGGGGCGATCGACTGGGCGACTTGTTGCCGTTGGTCTCCCTCAGCGCTGGCTGGCTGGGTTGCAACTTGATGCTGAAGACATCGGGCCCGGTTGTCTTGTCTGGTCTCGCGTGTGGCTTGGGTGAGGGCAGGTAGACCGCCTCCTCTTGCTCTTCTGTATTGTCCACGTCTTCTTCTAAGGCTGAGCTTGCAGCTTCCTCAGCCTCGCTTTCTTCATCGATCACGGAAAATCCTTCCCTGTCGACCGTGTCGAACCCTTCGCCAAATCCTAGTCCCATCCTAAGCTCCTCGAGATTGATGGTGTCGCCATTGGTCATGCGCTTTCGCCAGGAGTCCATGAGGAGGAACGACTCGCGCAGCCGAGCCTCCATCTTCTCCCAGCCCGCCCGCAGCCTGTGTATCTCCTCCTCGCGCATCTCGACCTCGTCCACTGCTACAAAGTTTGGATTTGTGAGGAGGTTCTTCAGGTTGTCCAAGACCGTGTCCATGTCGTCGGCGAGAGTCTCGTAGTCGGTAGGCAGCGTGTGCAGCATGTCCTGTTGCGTGTCGTCTGGCTCGTCGCCCGCGACCGAGGCGTCGTCTGCGTCTTGTTTGCGATTGACTTCGGGCATGCCTTGTAGCTCTCGCAGCGTCACCAGGGCGCTCCGCACGAGGCCGATGAGGTTGTCGTTCTCGTCGCTCAAGCTCTGGCTCAGCTGGGTCAAGAACTCGGTCGTCTCCTGCTTCAGGCTGTATTCGGGGTCGTCGACGTTGGGCGATTCGTCGCGCGCATGGCCAGTAGCGGCGCCCAAGCCCGTGCTGCCGGGGTTGATGGTGATGCTTGCGCCGACGAGGCCTGTCTTGTTGCCGCGCTGCTGGCTCGTCAGGTGGCTCTTGAGCCGTGCAATCTCCTTGTCGCGCTTGCGCACGTCGTTGGTGCAGCTGGTGCGCACTTGGTCGACCGTCGTCTTGAGGCGCTGCATCTCGGCGCGCAGCTTCCGCGCCGACGACTCGGCCGTGTGCAGGGCTTTGCGCGCCGACTGCTCTTGCGCCTGAGCGAGCGAGAGCTGTCGCGATAGGTCGGCATTGCGGTTGTGCTGCTTCTCGAGAGCGGCCGTCTGGCGCGTCGACTCGGCGCGCAGGCTTCGCAGCGTGTCGGCGCTGGATTCGCGGTATTCCTGGTCGCGCTGTCTGCTCATTAGGACCCTCCCCACCAGAACGTAAACGTGCATGTGCCTACATCGCGCTTCAATATCAGGTCGTGCACCAGGTTGATGATCTGGGCCATGGTGGCCTCTTTCCCCCCTTCTCCCCTCGACGGATGCGCAAACTCAATGGGCGTGCCATTGCGCAACAACCCACGCGCAAGCAGCAGGTTGTTGATGTACGTCGACGCCGTCTTGAGATTGTACGAGTCCATGGTGAGTGCAGCCGTCGTGGTCGGCTACCGGCGGCGTCGTCGGATGTGGCGGCGTTGTGAGCTTGTCGGCCACTGTTTGTTTATCCCTGGGTTCCGATGCCCAGGTAGGAGGTAGAAGGAGCAACCGAACAAGCACGGACCTACGCGTTCCGATCCTTCCGCCACGACTCCATGCAATGTCGACGTGATACGACGACGTCCACCTTCAGCCAGCCCGTCACAGCCGTGCATGCAGCCTCTTCGTGTCCTTCTCGCATCATCACCATCGTTGCATCCGCCTGCACCCGGCTTCACCACCACTCGCGCTTCAGCAATTATCGTGATTACCAGCGACATACATATACTTCTCTAGCGTATCTGTGCGTGACTCTCGTTTCGCATGGCCCAGAAGTTTAATGCCACAGACGTGTTTTTCCCCTGAGGTCGGACTCGGACTCGGTCCAACCATCAGCGCACCCCACCATGACCGTCGATGACAATTATACGCACTGCTTGTCTGACAAACCTTCGGGTTCCGAGACTGCCAGTCCTGCAATTCGGCACTCAAGTACCGTTTCCAATACTGGGCTCGCCTTATCCTATCCAGGCTAAATACCCAATCCAGCAAACCATATAGTTTTACGACGGTGTGCGTCGATTCCCCTCAAATGTCGGGCCCATTGCCGTAAGCTTCGCAGGGACTCACACATGATCTGCACTCAATTCCTTATTTCATGCGTCGCCATTGGAGGGGGTTTGCCGTATTTTACGATTCTTCCACGCGACCTGCCCTAGCCATGGTTCTCCCCAGCTTGTGTACATGTGCTGCTCTCTGCATGGCTGCCATGGCGTCCGGAACCAAGACCGGGGACAGCTAAACCTAACGTCGAAGAAGCCCACATTGTAGTACTTAAGGCACATCGCTCATCAAGAGGTGGTCTGTAGGCTGCGTTCGTTCTTCGGCGCTTTCGTCCATCTTTCGCTCGTTCCTTACACTCATTCACTTCCAGACATGGACAAGTTCACCTCTCTCGCTCTTGCGACTCTCCTGTTAGGAGCCCAATCCGCCTTTGCTATTCCCACCGAGGCCACTACCAAAGCGTGTAACGAAATCAACAATGCTCTTCCAGGAAAAGTCCTCACTCCGGGACTTCTCAAGCTCGAATACGCACATGAGACGCAGCAATACTGGGCTACCAATCTCCGCGAAGTCGATCCTGCATGCATTGTTCAACCAGACTCTGCCCAAGATGTGTCCATTGCCATCAAGATCTTGAACAAGTACCCGACTGTCAAGTTTGCTACACGGAGCGGAGGTCACGATCCAAACAAGCAACATGCTGCGGTCCAAGACGGTGTTCTCATCGCCATGACCAATCTAGTCGGAGCGACGTACGACGCAGCAGAAGATGTTGCCTACGTCCGACCAGGAGGTGAATGGAACGACGTCATTGGCGACCTTGAGAAGAGCGGCGTGGCAATCGCTGGAGGACGACTCGGTCTCGTCGGTGTCGCTGGTCTGCTGCTGGGTGGAGGTCTTTCATTCCTCGGTGCTCAAGAGGGTCTTGCAGCCGATGTCAGTTTTCCGCTATATGCAAAGGGCAGCTATGCTAACAAGCGATAGAACATCATCGAATGGGAGACTGTTATGGCGAACGGGTCTATCGTCAACGTCAACGCCGCAAAGCATCCCGACCTTGCGCAAGCTATGCGTGGTTCCGGTAGCCAGTTCGGTATTGTCACCCAGTTCAAGACTAAAGTCCATCACATGGGCGACGTCTGGGGTGGCTCATGTGTCTTCGATGACTCAAAATCCGACGCACTATACGCTGCTCTGCACAACTTCATGGCACACGGTGCCGAAGACCCCAAGGCGGCCATCATTCTTACGGACCTCGTAGTCGCAGCTGGAATCAAGACGAAAATTCTCTTTTCCTTTTACGACAACCCTAAGCCACCTACATCGGGTCCATTTGCCGATTTCTTCAAGATCGTTAACCCTTTGTGTCTACCCAAGACACAGAAGTACTCTGAGCTAGTAAGTCTATAATCTAACTTCAATGTGCCGTACAAGAACTAACAATTCCCAGCTGAAGGCAAACGGCGAGCCAGTCCGACTCTTGAACGCCCGCGCATTCTTCCGTACTTACACTGTCCCATACATTGCATCCCGGCCTCAGATGTACAAGGAGATTCGCGACAAGCTTGCTGAACTCACTGGTATCTTCCTCAACACCCTACCTGTCGTTCGCGCTATCCAATTCAGCGTTGACTTCCAACCTCTTCCATCCCGCTTTGGAAAGATGTCCGAGTCCAAGGGCGGAAACGCCATGGGACTTTCGTCCTCCGACCCTGACCGCATCATCCTAATCTACCAAGGAGCGTGGAACTTGCCCACAGACGACGCTCTTGCGTTTGGCATCGCCAGGGAATTGACGGCTTGGTTGGACAAGGTCGTGCCTCAATGGATAGCAGAAGCGGGTATGCCAAGCGACATGTACATGCCATTGTTCATCAACGATGCCATGTGGGACCAGCCAGTTTTCCAGAGCTACAAGGATTACAACAAGTTTAAGGCATTGCAGAAGAGTGTTGACCCGAAGGGCTTGTGGAGCACCAGGGCAGGAGGCTTTAAGTATTAGGTCCTTGTCGCCCACGTCATTATTATCTAGTACATACGATAATGTGTATTTTAAATGCCATCGTGTCAATCGCATCTTTCGCACGCTTGCTGCCGTTAATCAGTCGTATCCTGGGAGCAGAATAGGAAGGTGTTCTTGAAGCAGCGGGGCCACTATACTGAAAGCGGGGTAGTCGTACCTAGGTGTCTGACTCCATCACTACCAGTATGACTGTCTTGCATACATGTCGACTACAAAAGCTTTTCCATCTTCTTGTCTCGCCGCAAATTTTCTATCTACCACCAGGGCATGATGGCTGAAACACTCCAGTTCACCAGCTACGAGCATGAAGATGCCTGGGACGTGAATTGGCTGCGCGTGGATGACACCCATGAACTTTACTATCAACAGTTTGGCAAGAAGGACGGAAAGCCTGGTAAAAGTGCCTGCCATGTTGTCCAACTTTCCTGATAGTTAACGCTTTGCAGTCATCTACCTCCATGGTGGGCCTGGCGGGAACTGCTCCAAAACCAACACCGTCTTCTTCAACCCCTCTGAATACCGAGTGGTTCTGCTCGACCAGCGAGGCTGTGGTCAATCGCGCCCCAATGCCAACACAACAGACAACACTACTTGGCATCTCGTCGAAGACATCGAAAAGCTGCGCAAGCATCTGAAGTTTTCCAAATGGCACATGGTCTTTGGTGGCTCCTGGGGATCCACGCTCGCTCTAGCATATGCGCAAACACACCCCGATAGTGTAGGTAGTCTAGTCCTGCGCGGCATCTTCACCGTGCGAGACATCGAACTCAAGTGGACCAACCATGCAGGCGGCGCGCAAATGCTGTTTCCCGACCGCTGGGAGGACTTTATCAAGTTTTTACCAGAGGAAGAACGTTCCGATCATATCGGCAACTACCACAAACGCCTCATGTCTTCGGACTCGTCTATCAGTCATCCCGCGGCTGAGGCGTGGAACACGTGGGAGCTATCAATCAGCACCCTGTATCCTGACCCACACGCGTACAAGAAACTGAAAGAACCAGCCTATCTGCTCGCACATGCTAGGATGGAGATCCACTACTTCATCAACAAAGCATGGATGGAAGACGGGCAGCTGTAAGTCTTGGCTGTACGGAATGCAGATGATTACTGACTTCGTCCTGCAGGTTGAGGAAGGAGAACGTGGACCGGATCCGGAACATTCCGACGACCATCGTGCAGGGCAGGTACGATGTTGTCTGCCCGCCGGTTACAGCCTGGGAGCTGTACAAGCAGTGGCCGGAGAGCAAATTGCACTTCATAGACGACGCTGGGCACAGTGTTATGGAGCCCGGGACGAGAAGGAAGTTGACTGAAGTGTGCGACGAGTACGCGTCTCTGAGCGTCTAGCCCTATGCAGCCGTGGAACCCGTGTTAGGCTAGCGTTATTGTGAGACATCACGATCCGATGAATTTGACGGAAAATTAAGCCGTGCTCGAGCATCGCAGCTTTGGTTTTACGGGCCGTTTATGTGTTGGCTGACTAACGCCAAGACTGCCTGCTAAAGCCCAGAAGACTGCTGGGGCCCGCGCAAACGTCGCACGCAGCACCAGCAGTCTTCAATTCCTGTGAGTGACGTAATGGACCATGGCTACGACCGCGCCCATCTCGACCACGACGCCACCCGCAGCTATCGATAACCACGAACGGGTACGCGCATACGAGATCGCCGCGTGAGAATTGCCAGCCGACGTCACATTGCCGATTCCTGTTGCTAACACGGCCCTAGATATCTCTCTGCCGCGTCGTTCCCCTTCCACATCCCAGAAGGACCGCCGTCCGAACCAGTCCCCAGCAGCGACATAACCCTCAACGCCCTCGTCCAGCATGGCGTGCACAAGATGGACTGCGATCGCGCATTCCTGTCGCTCATTGATAATCGGAATCAATTCATATGCGCAGAGATGACGAGGCACCAGTCACTTTCGAGTGCAGACCCGGCCGAGCCGCTCTTGCTGGGTACTTCGCGAATCGCCCTCGAATGGGGCGTCTGCCCATTCACCATGTGCATCTTCCAGGGCAAACCAGTGCCTATGCCGGAAAGTCCCTATATCATTGCCGACAAGTCGTATTTCTGCATAAAAGACTTTCGCCAGGTTCCCACATTTGCCGAGCGCCCGTTCGTGGCTGGCTACCCGCACATGGTTTCATACCTCGAGATACCGCTGTTTGCAATGTCTGGGCACATATTGGGCAGCTACTGTGTTGTTGACACTAAAGAACGGGACTTTCTGCATCCCAAGTCTCTGAGCACTCTTCGCGAAACTACCTCGGCTATCAGTGCATACCTCGATATGCGACGCGCCGAAGCTTGTAAGTCTCGATCTGCTGAGATGATGCAAGGTCTGCGCCGCTTCGTAGCTTCAGATGACATGGTTCCAAGGTCTGTGGCCCCGGTGCGCCCTGGAGCTCACACAAGCCAATTCGACCTAGATGTTTTTGGCGCCGCCTCGCGAAGAAAACCTGATAAGAAGCTATCCGACGGTACGAATGCAAGCGTCACCATGTCAGACCATGTTCAGTCATTGCCTGATTGCGATGCATCTATTATCGTTTCGCCCCAAGATAATGTCCCGAAACGGGTCAAATCTGATTTTGCTACTCAAGTCGACACTCTCTTCATGAGAGCCGCAGATAGTATTGGCGATGCTATGGGTCTGGATGGCCTAGTCTTCTTTGACACTGTTTCAACTGGCACCCGAAACAAAGGTTGCCAGGTACGAGACATGTCTCCTGACAATACATCTTCGCCAACATGCGATCTCTTTGCGGTACCTCTGTCCTATTACCACAGAGATAACGCCCTCGGAAAGCTGAAACTGCGTCAGTCGCTCATCCAGCGCTTGACTGCCAAGTACCCTCGAGGGCATGTCTTCGCAGTCGATGAACATGGGGTCTTCCAACACGATTGCGATGACGAACTTGACTCTGGTGCGGATGACAGATGGAATGACCTCTTCAGTTTATTGCCAAAGACCCGCTACGTAATATTCCTGCCTATGTTTCACTACTCAAGAGAAGCTTGCTACTCTACCTGCCTAGCTTGGGTATCTGACACAGGCAAAACACTTGATACTGGCGATGTCAATTCATTGACAGCTTTCGGTAACTCACTGATGGCTGAGGTCTTTCGCTTAGAAGCATGCGAAAATACACTTTCCAAGTCGGATTTTGTTTCGACCATCAGTCACGAGTTACGAAGTCCCTTGCATGGCATTTTGGCCAGCATTGAGCTGATCCAAGAAAACTGCCAGGGATCTGGTTTGATGTCGGAGATCTCCATGATTGAGTCTTGTGCGGTTACTCTTCTCGATACATTTGACCATCTGTTGGAATATTCCAAAGTGAATAGCCGCGCCAGCGTTGGACAAAGAGGCGGAATTGGACATCCTCGTTCCACCACCCACGTTCATCACGGTGCAGTAGCTGTCGACTTGGCTTCTATGGTCGAAGATGTCATTGGGACTGTTTCCGTAGGTCATGACCATTCTTCGCGCCTCTCTTCTGGACTCAATAAAGAGCGTCAAGATTCGTTGGCTGGATCGCCCGCAACGGCACAATCCGAGCCTGTCGTCGTCACCACACGCATTGAAAAGGCCCGTGATTGGACCTTTGTCATTGACAAGGGTGCTTGGAAGCGCATTTTACTTAATGTCGTCAGCAACGCATTGAAGTATACCAAGTCGGGTTACATTCACGTAGGTCTAGCATTCGTGGAGGCTGCCGATGACAGTCAGTCACACATCAGTCTTTCTGTGACCGACACGGGTGTAGGCATGAGTGAGGATTTCCTCAAATACCATCTCTTTACACCCTTTACTCAGGAGAATCTACTAAGTCCAGGAACTGGGCTAGGTTTGAGCTTAGTGAAAAGCATCGTGGAGTCACTACACGGAACTATATCAGTCTCTAGTCGTTTGGGCAAGGGAACGAAGATCATCATCAACATTCCGGCTAGTCAAACGGCGCAGAGACCAAATGTGCCACGTGGCGAGAGCGTCTCCTCTCACGAATGCCTAAGCGGAAAGGCAATCGGTATGCTCAGTCTCTCTCTAACCGAAGAGCAAGGCAAAGGATTTGCACCCTCTATCGATTCGCCTCCCGAAGCGCTGGAGCGGGCCGTTCAAAATATCTGCGAGGATCGCTTCGGCATGAGGTTCACCACTGTTTCCACAGACACACTCCCGGTTCTGGATGTACTCCTCATCGATCACCATGCCCTCTCTTCGACACTCACGTACGACTTGAAAACTTTGTTCCCTACGTATACGGGAGGGACTTACCCGGTCATGGTCGACCTGCGCAATGTTAAAGGCGCACCTCCGGAATCCGGCACTGGCAAGCCCATGCACACAGTACTAGTCACTGCAAACTCGCTCGGACCTGCACTCATCTCGGCTATGAAGGATGTCACTACCAAGGAGAAGGCAGTGCCGTCCATAGAACTCAGAAGCAGACCTGACATGGAGCCAACAGAGCCACTAGAACATGCCGACACAATGCTAGAGCCAGACCCGCAAACCAAAGTACTTCCACACCGCAGCTTATCGTTGCAGCATGTGACACTAGCCGACGCCGCCACAAGTCCTGCTCTACAAGCACCATTACCAACACAACCACCTACCCCGCTTACAAGCAGCCCAACATGCCGATTCCGCCGTCTGCTCTTGGTAGACGATAACCCCATAAATCTAAAAATGCTTTGCGCTTTTGCAAAACGCCTCGGCGTACCGTATTCCAGTGCCACCGACGGCGCAGAAGCGGTGCGTCTCTATCAAACCGCCACTGAGCAAGAGGACCCAAAAGCAAATTATGACTGCATTTTCATGGACATCAGCATGCCAGTTATGGATGGCTTCCAGGCCGTATCAAAGATTCGTGGAATCGAACACGGTTTGATGGAAAAATGCATACCAAGACAGCCCAATGACGCTGCGAACCATGGTCTAGATGGCATACTAGAGGATGAGAGAGGTGCTCGGGCGTACATCTTCGCATTAACGGGTCTTGGTAGCGAGAAAGCGCGAAAGCAAGCGAAGAATAGCGGTTTTGACGAGTTTCTTCTCAAGCCAGTGAGGTTCAAGGACGTCCTACCGTTGTTGGCACGTCTGCCAACTGCATGAGGGCTATGGGTCATCTGCCATATTGAATGCAGAGCTCGTTATGGGGGCGTTAATTTCATTTGGTCTATGCAACATGCTGGCGTTCAGATTCTGGGGAAGCTCTACTAAGAGCATATGGATGTAATAACGACCTTGGGAATAAGGCTTCGGTAGCACCGCTTGCCCAACATACGAACAATTTCAGAACAGTGATAACATCGTATGTATGCGCTACTCACTGACGGCTGTCTTGCAGTGACTTAAGGGTAACCGGTGTTGTCTTGGCTAGCCTTCATCATGTCTGTCAGTGTTTGCTTTTCTATATCTTATAGCAAGGCGCTTCCAAGTCGGTTCAACCCCTCCGACGGCAGCGAGAGGAGCTACGAAAGCCCGCTCTATAATTGCAAAGAACGAAAAAGTAAGGAAACACGGACTGAAGGCTCAAAGTAGAAGGTGCCGTTCTGCTCGGAAGACTAGGAGCTTAGCCTCGACCAAACATCTATAATGGTAGATGCTGTCATGCGGAGGCGCCTCACGATTTCGTGACGCCTTAGGGATAGAGAGCTGGATCGCATTCTTGTTGGCGGAGCTCGATATTGAGGTGACGTTGTGGCGCCGTCACATGGATGAGGACTGTCTCGTTTATGATCTTTGCTTGACGTTTGTTGGTGCATTAATGATGGGGTTGGAGTCTGAGCGCCTAGTTGAGGACTACCCAGGCATGTTATATGCACACGCACTTGTAATTGAGGTTCATGGCGAGTCTTCTACTCACTGCTGTACGTAGCCGTAGTCTGTCTGGAGGTCTGTAGAAGTACGGCCGACTTCACAAAAGACTGGCTCGTACATGAAAGAAGCCAGTAAGAATCAATCAGCGTATTGAGCCCGACTCAGTACAACATCAAAGTGAGTTCTGCCCAGTTTCGTCAGTATGTGGAGTCTAGCGTCCTGTGTCAAAGCCTTTCGTCTATGCACGCGCAAGTTACATGGCAGTGCAGACAGTACGGAACACCCGGCATCGTGCTTTCTACTGGTGTAAATTGCCAACATGCTTTTTCGTTTTCGTTGCTTTGTTCATGAAGGCTCTTTAGAAGTTTGGTAGCTAACAGGGTTGGTCACAACGGTCGCGAGTGAATACCCGCAGCAAATGCGCCTCTGCAACTAGTTGGTGGGTAAGCACAAGCTGGCATCACATCAAGTACGCCGGCAATATACCGGTGGTTTTTGCGGCTAATGGTGTTGGCCTAAGGTACGATCTCACCAAACTTTGAGCTGACGTAGCCACCTGGGAAGGATCGACCAATTCATGCCTATCTGGACATTCACTGTCAATACCATGTCTCTCATTTCCTAATCGACATGTGTTGAGTATTCCGGTCGCTACAAATCAGCAGAAATTGTGCAGCGAAGTCGCCGAAGTTGAGGTACCATGACAAGCACAGGAGCTAGCTCCTCGCCAAAGTATAGGAGCTGTCTGTACGGCTAGTGTCGGCGAGCGTCCACGACTCAGCGGGCTCGGCATTATTCCGAGCCCTGACTTGGACAAAAGAAACAACAACACATCAGCCGGACCCTTTGTATTGCTTTTGGCGGACCGCGCCACGCAGCGAACATGTCGCATTTCCCTTTTCCAGGTAGTCGCCTGCATGCCGTTGTACATTGTGAGACTAGATTGCCATCTACACGAGGGGCAACAAAGGCCTCCACGTGACTTGGCATTGGTTGCGGCCGCTCCGGACATGGAAAAAGCAGATCTGCATAAGGCTCGGCGACCCTACTTCGTTGCTGGGATTTCTGACTGGACGATCGTAGGTGCCTGCTTCTGCATGTTCGGGCGGCTGCATCATCGCACTGATGTTCGACGGCTACGCCCGCAGAAGGATCGCCGACCCGTAGATACCGCTACTACACCCTTTCCAGTGGGGCGCCGCTTGCCAACAAAGAGCTACTAACTGAACAACCTCAGCTGAACTCGGGCATGTCGACAAGAAGCCTTGTTCACAGAAGGTAGCGATCTACTATGCTACTGCAAGGCTAATCTTGGCGCGGTGAAGCGATTGGGGTAGTCTGAGCTCACCCTGCAAGTTGGGAAGTGACATGAGCCCCTAAGCCCTGAGATCGGTTAGTGCTCTCTACCCAATACGGCGTCTCTTGATCCACTGGGAGTAAATTGTTGATCATGTATTAGATGAGAGTAGTGGAAATCGATGATCGCAATGCCATGTGCAGATTCAGCCGCAAAAGCCCCACTCGGCGATGTATTATGGTAGATCTCTCTGCTAGAGACGAGTTCGGTAGACCCTGTCGATAATCACTGTGAGGTAACATCAACCGCAATGCTGAGAGCAGAGTGGTTACCGACGATAGTTGAAAGCTGCTTCAACATGATGCGATAAAACATGTCAACTGATGCCATACTCCGATCAATGATCTTTTAGAATCAACGTCCAAGAACGTTTTGTCAACTGATTCAGAGGCCTACATGCAAACATCTGCGTGTTTTCGGTCAAGACAAAATGGGTTGTAGTGCATAGCCTCACTTGTCATTAAACTTTGTTCTTTTGACAGTAGCGTACGCTACATCACCCACCTTCTGGGTTATGGGCTTGATTGGCATCTCAACGCGGTGTACAGGAGGATCAGCGAACCTAGTTGTGGTTCAGGACTACGGGAAGCATTTGCTCCGTTGACTCGAGCTTGGCTACATCGCACGTCGGGTATAAAGACACCGCAGTCTCCCATGAAAAGAAGGTATCGCACACCTTCATCTGCAATCATCACTCCCCACTTCTACCATCTACCACCAACAACCGCTTTCACAGCTTCTTCCCACCGCAATCATGGTCTCATTCCGCAACTTCTTCACCGCCGCCTTGGCCTTCTCCGTGCCTATCTCGGCTGCTATCACGCCCGCTGAGGTTGTCACCAACATTAAATCTATTACGACGAAGAGCATGGCGCTTCAGGCGCCGGCCAAAAGCGTCACCATTGTCAGTGGACAACTGCTCCTCATCGGTCAGGGACCATTCCCCGAGATCATTAGGGGCTTCGCAGACATTGTAACTACTGCCACCACCGCCATCGCTCAGATGCAGGGCATGCCCAAAGAGCCCGCAGGCGCTTCTACTGATGCCGTCTTCGAAGCCTTCCGCGAAGTGAGTACCATCTGTTCCACAGATATACATGTTGCTTACGACGAGAAACAGTTTGTCCGAGTTCATCAAGCGCTGCTCAACATCCTCATTGGCAAGGCCGGTTTGTTCAGTACTGTCCCTTTCGTCGGTGCGCCCGTTGCGGCTGTACTCAGGCAGATCGAGAAGGTCGTTGATGTAAGTCTTTCTTCTCTTGTAGTTTTCACGCCTAGCGCCCGCTCCGATACTATCTGTTGGACTCGAACGTAATTCCTTGAGTCTGCTCGCTAACAGCCTTTCGCAGACGATTGCCTTCATGTTGATTGATACCTTCGAGGCCCGCGCCGCAGACTTCAAGGATGAAGCAGGTGCCCTTTCCGGAACTCTTACTGTTTGCATCAACCAGTACCAAGGCATTGCCACCGGTATCACCAAGAGGAACCTCAGGTTCGCGCGCCGCGAGATGGTTACTGCTGCTTAGATAGGCTTTCAGCCCAAAGATCACCAGGCGGAAAGCTCTCGGAGCTGAACGATGTCTGTGGATGGAGTGGGGGAGGAGTGTCGAGGACGATGGGCAGTATTTGTAAAACCTTAGAAGGTCTCAGGACAGTCATTACCACATGGTTGGCCATGTTCCGTTTGACAGCTGCGCTTTACGGTCGATTGCATAGTTAATGTAAAGTCACTTTCGTCCAAGAGTCTACCATCACGATATGAGTGTTTTGCATCTATTCCTTGCCTCTGCGCATAAGTCGTAGGAACTAATCACTAGCGCTCTTCTAACACCTTTCATCTCGGGTACATCTCTCTATGTTTGCTACTCAGCAAGCGTGAGCGCACTTGCGGGACGTCTGGCTGCTGACGTCGATAGAAGCGCCGGGAGACGGGTGGACACATCCTTCGGGCCATGGGTCCTTGAAGAGAAGCCAGCGAAACAAGCATCGAAAAGCAAAGTTTTCGCATCTAGTCTCTGTGATGTTTGAAGTAGTTTGTGGGTGGAACGCCTACTCAGGTGCAACTGAAGAAAGAGCAACACTCTCTTCCGGCCTAGCGCGGTGACATCATCCCTTCCACTCTTCTTGGTTGCTACTTCCCTCTTCATTCCTCTGTACATTCACCCAAAGAACACAATGCGTGTTCTCTGGGTTCAGTCGTATCCTTTCAATACATGCTCACGTACTGTTACCAGTGCGCGGCTGGTAGAAAGATTTGAGAGCGTAGGCTACATTCTCGTGACCGTAGCTCGTAGAGCAACTCCATAATAGTCGACAATATTCACTGGCGGTATGACCAAATCATGTAGTCATCATTGGTGCACGGACAGGCTTTATCACCTAGGCAGCGGTAGCTTTTGACCTCTAGACTACAGCAATTCTCTACGTTCGGTCAACATAAACCAATCCCTCAACCTAGCATCATTTGACTGACCCTCTGGAGACCATATAGGGCAATCTTCCTGATTAGAGCACCAGCGAAAAGACAAAATGGACTTGATCGAGCTTCCAGTAGAGCTCCTCAGCCGAGTATGTCGCTTCCTCGGACGAGCGTCGGGTACCAACAACAACAAGTATTCATACAAGAACAGAGACTTTGGATCGCTGCGATCGACATGCAAAGCCGTATACGCCAGGACCGAGTTCGACGCAAGCATTCGGTACAGCCTCCAGGAATGCCGCTTTTATCTCGAGCCGTCGTCGCTTGCTCTCTTCCTACACTTGTCCCGTATCCCCGCCTTCCGCAATCGAATGGTGCGCATAACTGTATGTCCGCTCAAGAAACCCAAGACGATAAGCGACTACGAATGGTATCTGCTACACGAGGATGAGTACAGCTTTGTGAGGTCCGGTGAAGCCGCCCATATGCTCGCCCAATGTTTCCGACAACATCAAGACGCGGAATCTTTCATCGAGCTAGAGCTACCCTTTGGGACTCATATTGTAAGTGAACAGACAACTGTGCTGCGAGCACTGCAGCTGTCGCAGTTTCCAGAGAAGGTCGCCTATGTCTACATCTGGCTGGAGAACTCTCAGAAGCCCGAATGGGCGCTGTTTGCAAACTCATTGTCGGAATTTCGACCTTGGATCAAGAAAGCTGTCTTCTTAACACCAAATGCATACGGAAGAGATGTTGCGAAGAGTCGCGAAGTTGGAGCTCACATCAAGAATGTGCGCCCGGTCCATCCCGATGTATTGAAAGTTGTTACTGCCACTACTAGTGTTGAACGCCTACAACTCCTAGGGTGCAACGAAGTTCCTGAGCTTAGGATATGCCATGGCTGCGAAAGTCTATTCTCTACACACATAATGGCCCGCTCGTACGAGCATTTGCAGTCACTAGAGCTTTCCGATCTGTACCTAAGTGGTAGCCGACTCCGAGGATTCCTCAAGCGGGCTGAGAATTTGGTGTGGTTCGAGGCAACAGAGGCAACGTTAACGGACGGATCATGGAAGTCAATATACCAGAGATTGAGGAAGCTACCGCTCTGGCATGTCTACCTCGGTCGAAATTACCAGAAACATGGGCCTCTCACACCAGCCGCACTTCCCTACGCTTGCCGTGACGGCCACGCAAACAAGGGCAGGAAAGGGGCCTACCATGACAATATCAACGTGCTACTCGATGCTCTGATAACGCAATTTCACGTCTGTCGCGTGCACAGAGAACAGGAGTATCGTGGTCCGAAGTACTTCGAGGTCTGTTTCTTTGATATTCCGGGGTTGTTTAGAGAAGTTTACAAGAGCGACATACAGAGGTATGCTGTAGAGGTAGAAGGTAACTGAAACACCAGAGGCAACATCCATGACAGCTTGTGGTTTGGGTAGCAAGGCCACCCTGTTGAGTAAAACGCTCTACACGAGATCTGTGAACTGCAGAGCAAAAGGCCGCCTGATTTCAGATGTTCATCATGTCACTAGCATGCGATGACATGACAATGTTGTTATATTTGATACATCTGATCTCACTGGGGTTGAACCGTTACTTCATAATACATACATGGATCAGTCGTTGAGACCTGATCAGACCATTTTTACACAACACCGTACTCATGCTTTCATCTCAGTACCAGCACCTCAAACTCCCCAACCGAAACAAGCTTCTTCTTACTTGCTAATATCATCGCCCCAGACCTGCTTGGCAATCTCTACACTCAGCTTAACCTTAGCCCATTGCTCCTCCTCCGTCAACTCGTTACCCTCAGCTGTGGAGCTGAATCCACACTGGTGGCTCACGCAAAGCTGATCGAGACCCTTGGGGGCAATCTTAGCCGCCTCATGTAGCCTCTTGATGATCTCCTCCTTGTCGTCGAGGGTGTTCTTCTTGCTGCTCATGACACCGAGCACAACAACCTTGTGCTCGGGCAGATGACGCAGCGGGGAGAAGTCGCCAGATCGCGCATCGTCGTACTCGAGGAAGTAGGCGTCAACGTTGAGCTCCTTGAAGAGAACTTCGGAGACGGGCTCGTAGCCGCCAGAGGCGAACCACTTGGAGCGGTAGTTGCCACGGCAGAGGTGGATGCCGATCTTCATGTCTGCAGGTCGCTTCTCGATAGCCTTGTTGATGAGCTCGGCGTATTTGCGGGGGAGGGTGCTGAGGTCTTCGTTGCGTTCCTGCTCGGCGGCTTTGCGCATGTCGGGGTCGCATAGGTAGGCCAGGTTGGTGTCGTCGAGTTGGACGAAGCGGCAGCCAGCCTTGTACAGGCTGTCTAGCTCCTCCTGGTATACGCGGGCGAGGTCCTCGAAGAAGACATCAAGGTCGGGGTATGCGGAGATGTCGATCGAGGCACGTCCACCACGGAAGTGCACCATTGTTGGCGATGGGATGGCGACTTTTGTGCTCGCCTTGCCGCCATTCTCTTTGATCGCTTGCTCAAGGAACTGGAAATCCTTGACCTGAATGGCCTCGGGGTGGGCCAGCTTTCCCTTTACGACCAGCGTTGGTGGCGAGAAGCCATCCTTGTGCCTGATGTTTCCCACTTGACCCTTCTCCTCGATACCTTCGACGTGCTTGAGGAAGTCGAGATGGAAGTATGCGCGGCGGAACTCGCCGTCGGTTATGGATCGGAGACCGCTCTCTATTTGCTTCTTTGCGACGTATTTGATGTGTTCGTCTTCGATATTGCGGAGCTCGTCGGCGGTGATCTCACCGTTGGCTGCCTTTGTACGCGCTTCGAGGACGGCTTTGGGGCGGAGGAAGGAGCCGACGTGGTCGGCCCGATATACACCAGTGGGAAGAGGCATTGTGTCTAGTTCTGTACGACGGTTAGCATGCTGTGGCACTATCGCGGCATCAACACTTACATGAGATGTTGTGGTTTTTGCTATGCAATAGTTTGTCCGTCAGACACAATGATGCTGTAGTTTGGCTAGAGGCTTAGCAATAAGATGACGAGACGGGACGCATCTGCCGAAAATTCGTACACGGCCTCGTCGGTTCTCCATCGCATAACGACCCGTCCACGTCTAATCATGAAGCTAGTGGGCCACGGCAGTTACAATTTTGGGGCTAAGACCCTGAATTGGGGGCGCCGAGGAATAGCGGGCGCGGCCAACTTGCTCCGAAGGGAAGTCACACCGCGGGCGAAGGCTTGTAGAAAACATCAAACGCAGGCAAAGACCCTGTGTACATGAGAGGCTCGCCATGGGAAACTTATCCCGTGGGAGTGAGTAGTGCCGGTGGCTGTCAGCTCTGCAGCTTCTGGACCTGGAGGGGTTTGCATGACGTTCGGCGGGGTAACCTCACCAAACTCCAGTTCGCGACACCACACTCGGATTCACGGACCGTACACATACCCAAAGGTCAAAAGTAGATGAAATTGGGTATATTGAAAGATGTACGATGAAGCAAGATAGAGGGTGTTACGTGTGGCCGATAACCATACGAATGGTCGACCAAGCAACGACACATACCTCGTGGTGTCACTTACGCAGCCTTCACAAGCTTCGCTTCTAGAAGCTCGCCAAATGAGCCTTCCCACAGGCCCTCATCCTCGTCATCCTCTTCCATGAGGAGAGCGTCGGCCGCGTTGTAGATGCGGTTGCCTTTGCTGTCAAACTTCTTCTCCCGCTTTGGAAGATCGCGCAAAGCAATCTTGAGCTGGATCGTACCCGCGCCGGGGCCTGAGTCGCCTTCTTGCTCTACAGTAGCTGTCTTGTATCCGCTAATCTCGGGTGTAACAGTGACGGGATTCACAGTAAAAAACTTGCAGGCGATGACAGCACCAACCTTCATGTCGGACGACGTGAGCTCTGGCAGGGTGCTCATGTCTTCAGGAAGTGGTGGCAGATCAGACTGCGCAGCCATTGCAACATCTTGACGCAGCTGGTCCTCGACGGCTGCGTTGATGGACTCAGAGTCGGGGTTCGTTGTGGGAGCATCGTCGTAGTCTAAGATGATCTTCTCTTCCTCCTCCTCTTCTACTGGCGTTGCCTCCTGTTGCACATTACTCCGCCTCTTTTGCTTCTTTTTCCTAGCCTTGTCATGCATAAGCTTGCTGGCTGGATCCCAGTGCTGCTGAAACGGGAAGGGCGGAGCGCTGAGCTCGAAGTCCTCTTCCCAGCATTCAAATGCCGAAAGATTGATCCGTGTCTTCCAGAAATCGGGGTTTGACCACTCTTCAGGCTCAGGTGTCGGTGCCTTCGCTTTTATCTTCCGAACAGGCCCAGCCTGTCGAGCAAGTATCCGACCAATGGCGCGGGTGTCTGGTCGCAGTCTTCTGGAGGTAGGCTCTTTCTTCGCCGGTGGCTCTTCTTCCACTAGGGTCGTGGTGGCTTGCTCAACGACCGGAGCCGTTGGCTGTATGGCCTCGTCCGCTGGTGCCGTCGCTTCTGTGCTTTCTCCGAACCTCGCCATCAGGTCCCGTTTCCTTCGCTCCAGCTCTGTTGTGTCTTCTGCGACCTCCTCTGCCGGCTCATCTTCGTCTAATCGTTTTCTCTTGCCTTGGGATTTGGCAAAAGGTTGTGTGTGTCGAGGTTCTTCCTCATCCAGACCATACCTGCCGTCTTCGTAGGCGGCCAGGTCGCTGAACGTAGCGGTTTCGGGAAGCTTGCCCGACGCCTTGAGACTACGCAGACGATTAGCTCTTGTACGTCGCGAGTTCCTCAGCTTTGTAGCTTTGAGTCCATCTCCGGGGGGTACATGCGTTGTGGCTGCTTTGGTCTTGCGACCGTCTTTGGAAGACAAGACATCGGGCGGGGAGCTTGCGTCGCTATCGTCGGAGTCGGAGTCGGAATCGCTCGAGGTGTCTGTTTCTGAATCTGAATCCGAAGTATCTGAGGCGCTAGACGACGCGTCCGACTTTGCCTTTGCCGTTGCCGTTGCGTCTGCCTCTGAGTCTGAATCTGAGTCTGAATCTGAGTCCGACTCCGAGTCGTCTGAAGAGGACACCTCCTCCTCTGCTTCTTCGGGTGCAAAGTCATCATCATCTCCCTCGCTGTCGTCCGAATCATCAATTTCGGGCTGCTCGAACTGCACCGACTTGACTGCCCGTTGCGCCCTTGATGCTTTATTCCCCGACTCCTTGTGACCGTTCAGCATCGCAACATCGTCGCGCGCTTCGGATGATTCTCCATGCTCCGTAAGAAGGCCCACAGCTTCAGTATCTTCGTCGGACTGCCCATCGTCTAGTCGGCGTCGTTTGCGTGGAGGTATGCGAACAGCAGGTCGATTTGGTTGTCGCAGGTAGGGTCGACCGAAGGGAACGCCATCGACGAGATGTTGGCCTCCGTCTGATATTTGATCCCGGCCGGTGAGGGTGCGCGCGCGTACTTCGGCAGTCATGAGTGGGCGGATGCTGGTAGGCTGTTAGTAGACGTTAGTGTAGAGATTCTGAAATCACGTACGAAACATGATCGTCTTCTTTGAGCGCATTCGTGACGGGCATAAAGTGCAGACACTCGAAGCCGCCCACCTCGACGACATAGTGCTCCAGGCCCCAGTGCTCGGCCTCTAGCGGGATAATGTGGTTGACATCCTCAAGCAGACGCGTAATGGTGTATGCCTGTGTGCTGTTCGTCTCAGGTACGCTCCAGAGTATGTTGGCGGCAGGCAGGCCATTCCGCTGGACCGTCAGTCGAAGCCTCATGATGGCGTGTTGAGGCGCATGTGTTCGCGCGTCAAATGCCATGGTCGCGAACTTTTGGAAGGAGCTAGGGCGATGACGATCCCTGCTTTCGAGGCTAGCCCCATCTGCTTAGCCCCTTCTCCACTTTGAGATTCACCAGCATGTCACTGCAAACAGCAGGTGTATTACCACCCGCACATGACGCAATCCTCGATTTTGATCTGAGCTATATATCACTAATCTAGGACTACAAGTTCGACATAGTCAATTGCTGTCCGTTCCAGTTCAGAGTTCACAAACTGCAACGATGCCTATGATGCCCATCAGTACGCTCAAAGGTTCCTGGAAGCGTCTTCTCGACGACGAACGTCTGCGCCGATCGTCCCAAGTCCTTTCCGTTATCGACGATCATGTCTGCATCTTCGGTGGTGAAGTGAAGCCAAGGGAGCCGCTGGATGATAAAGTCGATATTGTCTCGCTCAAGTCTGGTATTACTTCCCCTCATTGAAGTAGGCCATCAAGGTACGGCACTAACGACGCCACAGATGCAAAGCGTTTGGAAACGAAGAGTGTCTCTTCGGCGCCGACTCCACGCGTTGGAAGTGCCTCAGCAGTACTGAATGGGAAAATGTACCTTTTCTCTGGTCGGGGTGGCATCGACATGGCCCCAATAGAGGAAGATGGCGCAGTGTGGTGCTTCGACCCCTCAAGCTTAGCCTGGTCCAAGATCATGCCTGCTGATTTATCTGCGCCATATCCACCAGCTCGCAGTTATCACTGCTCTACTAGTGATGGCAAAGACACCTTCTTCCTCCATGCTGGATGTCCCGCAAGTGGCCGTCTCTCAGATCTGTGGATGTTCAACATCAGCGAACGTACATGGAAACAAGCCCCCGACGCTCCGGCGCCACATCGAGGAGGAACTTCTATCGCTTACAGTAGTGGCAAGCTTTACAGGATGAATGGATTTGATGGGACCACGGAACAGGGTGGTAGTATCGACGTCTTCGACCTTGCCAACAATTCTTGGTCAACTGACACATTCAAAGCGGATGGCAACGATGGACCTGAAGCTCGCAGTGTCTGTGTTCTTCTGCCAGTCAAGCTGGCTCGAAAAGACAAGCTCCTTACACTCTTCGGTGAACATGACCCTTCATCGCTCGGTCATGCCGGTGCAGGCAAGATGTTGAAGGACGTCTGGATCTATGACACCAGCGAAAAGTGGTGGACTCAACTACACCCCGATGGCAGCGATGGTACTCCTGACCCCCGTGGTTGGTTTGATGCTGATGTGGTCAAGGCTGAGAGCGGCAACGACAGCGTCATCATTCATGGTGGGCTTGGTGAGAACAACGAGCGTTTGACGGACATGTGGCAACTTGCCTTCTAGATATGTACATGATACAAAATGGATACCTTTCACTGCGTTTGCGATCATGAACTCTTTTGGCGCTTTGATTTGGTTACCAGTCATCAGTTGCTCATTGTAGAACCTACGCCTGAGTACCCAAGCTGCAGCTCGGCGATCATGGAAATACTTTAAGCTAGGAACATTGTGATACCCGAATTGATTATCATGGCTCTTGAGTCCAAGGCCCCACTGGTGATCGCGTGTCAGCAAGTCTGGGTAGTACCTTCCGTGCCTGTGCTCACACTGGGGAAGGAGCCTTCATCTAGGAAATACCAAAGAATAAGAATGCGGCAAGTATACTAGCATATCAGCTTCACACGAGGTAGAATATGCTACTGGTATAGAAGCCATCTTCATGCATGTTGCTGCTGCTGCTGCCATGAACAAACGTCACCGGGTCAGTACGAGCTCCATGGGTTTTCGAGGAAAAATAGTCGACTGTTTGAGTGTATCCAGAAAGCGCTGTCACTGCTTTATTGCTGCGGAACGAAACCTCGGGGTTGTGATGAGGAGACCGAGTTCGACTCTGTAGATATGAAGAAGCCACCTGAGCTTTGGAACTGAAAGTTGCGCAGTGGCACGTTCCCGATAGTGCGACCGCCAAACTAGGAATTTCAACGTATTCGGTTCCAAATAACCCGGTGCTCACAATAGATGAGCGTTTTCCCCAAGACCTTTGTCTAATCTAGTTTATAGTCGGGATGTGGAGGAGAGTGTAGAGTAATCCCCGTGGTATCTATTCTGCTGGTCTGGGCCGATACACAAATTCTGTTGCATACAATGACGCTCTGTACCTATAGTGAAGCTTTGCATACTTGTAGACGCGCGACACAGAAATTGTGTCGATGCAATCAGTGGGCAGGACGCATCTAGCAATGGCTCAGATGGTTGGTAAGTCTGAGAACCTTGATTCTCCTAATTGTTCCCCAGATTTCTGTAGAACAGTCGGATCATCTGAAAATAGAAGAATCCAGAGGCATACTTTTAGTGTTGACATGGTGGCATGGTGGTGCTTCTTCATCGGATGCACTTCGTGTCAAGGACGCGTTTACCTCGGCTATACGACTTTGATGTCTGCACATCAATCTCGTTCACCCAACAACGCGGTTGACGGTATCATTTTCCAACCGCGAAATGGCCAGTATATGCCGAACGCATTTGATGTGAAGTCTCCAGAATCTGTTCAATGTTCGTACGAGCATGCTAGACTCCGCTCCACATCCCGCTCCCGCCATCCGCCCTTCTCCGCGCGTCATCGCTTCCCCGCACAGCGAACCTTCGGACGAGCCTAAACATGTAGCAAATCGCGCGAAATGCGTCGCGAAAGCTATAAGAGCACATCGCGATTAGACTGCTGTTGTATCTGTGACTGAGGTTGTCAAAATGCATTCCGAAGTCCTTGCTTTCGCAGCTGTCGTAGCAGTTGTCGCGCGCATCCTCTTTCCGTTCTTCAAAAATGTATCTTCACCATTGCGAAATGTACCTGGACCAGCCTCAACGCGGTTTACAGACCTGTGGTATCTTTGGAGAGTGAGAAGAGGAGGCTTTGAACAGGACAACATTGAGCTGCATCGAAAGCATGGTGAGTTGGACCCTGCCGGCCTGTTCCTGATCTGTCCTGATACCATACTTACACTATTACCACAGGCGAAATAGTCCGCTACGGTCCGAATCGATACTCCCTCTCCTCTCCCGATGCTCAGAAAACTGTCTACGGGCACGGCGCCAAATTTCCAAAGTCTTCGTGGTACGCAACCTGGCAGAACCCGTCGCCTTCGCAGTGGTCCCTCTTCGCCGACCAATCTATACCAAGACACAGCGAGAACCGGAGGCAATATCAGAGCGCATACACAATGTCATCGCTCGTTAGCTACGAGCCGTACGTCGACGAATGCACAGACCTGTTCAGCCAGCGCCTCCAGGAGGTAGCGAGTGCGGGTGCGTATGCCGACATGGGGCATTGGCTGCAATGCTATGCCTTCGATGTTATTGGATTGATCACATACTCGAAGCGACTGGGCTTCTTGGATAGGGGTGAGGATATCCGTGGCGTGATTGCGGCTCTCGAAGATCACCTGTGGTACGCTACCTTTACGGGCATCTTCTCCTGGCTGCACAAATATCTCTTTCCCATCCGAAATTGGCTGGCTGGTCCGACAGGCACTGGGAGGGCGTATGTCATGAAGTTCACGCAAGAGCGTATTGCAGAACACGAGAAGGAGGAGACCAAAGCCATTCCTGTCGATGGCATGGAGGAAGGCAAGACGAGCATGGACTTCCTTTCCAAATTCTTCAAGAAGAACGCAGATGACCCCAAGGCGTTTACAATGTACCATCTCAGCATGGGCTGCGTTTCGAACATGGTCGCTGGTTCAGATACTACAGCAATCAGTCTCTCCGCAATCCTCTACTACCTACTCAAGTTCCCGCAAACATTCGAGACTCTGCGTCAAGAGATCGACGAGCGGCAGCGCGAAGGCAAGATTGGCCACTACATCACATTCAAGGAAAGTCAGGAAATGCCGTATCTTCAAGCCGTCATGAAGGAGGCGCTGCGAATGCACCCGGCTACTGGCCTACCACTCGAGCGCGTGGTACCCGCTGGAGGAGCGAGCATATGTGATCAGTTCTTTCCCGAGGGCGTAAGTTGCCGTGCATGTCAAATCGCGCTCTCTAGGCTGACTGCTTGTGTAGACTATTGTCGGAATCAACTCCTGGGTGGCTCACCGCAACACATCTGTTTTCGGCCCTGACGCAGACGTGTTCAGACCTGAGCGCTGGCTCAGCTCCGATAAAGAAAAGCTTAGTCTCATGGACCGCAACTGGATGCCGGTAAGTCGTAGCACCCGAATGTCACCTTGATCGGCTTCTGCCGACCGCTGCGTCGTCGTTTCCACAAACATAACGCCACTCGTTCACCATTGCCTCTTTCGCCATCTCAGCCAGCCTCACCAAATCCTTCATTTCTTTTCCCTCATGATGGACAGCGGCTAACAAAAGTGGCAACAGTTTGGTCTAGGCTCACGAACGTGCATCGGAAGACATATTTCGCACTTGGAAATGTCCAAGCTAATCCCCATGCTGGTGCGCGACTTTGATTTTTCGCTCGCCCCCCACCTGCAGGCTGCAGATTGGGAAACGACGAATTACTGGTTCGTCAAGCCGAGGGATTTCCAAGTCAAGGTCATGGTAAGGCGACAGGGTCTCTGATGTTGAGGCACGTATCGCAGCAGCGACGGCCCGTCGGGTAGCTGAGTACCCGGTTCTGGGTGCGACTGTGATTGTCGGTTGCTATACTTGGAATGACAGATAGAGTAGTTGAGCAATCGAGGACGAGATTGACATGGTAACGTGCAGTAGCGGAGTGGAACTGCAAGGTATCATAGGCCCGATGTGAGCTGGCAGATAACAGCCCAATCGCAAAGTAAAAAGTACTTACCCTGTTGCTGCAACTGCTAGGGCTAGCGAGCATCGCAATGCATAGACGAAGTATTGTATATTGTGAGAAGCCCTGGTGGCGCTCCGAGTTGCAATCTACACCTTCTGGAATACCGTGGCGCCCAGCCGAAGCCTCCGCGGATTGTGCCGTCCCACGTTGTCCTCAGCCCGCCTCATCATGGGTTCTGGCTTGCAGTATGCAAGGCGATGGAGCAGACAAGTTGCCACCGGTAAATCCCTCGCGTGGCTGCCTAGCAAGGCTGTTGCCGCGGTTGATGAGCGACAAGAAAAAACCTGAAAGTAGGGAGATTGGTGTTGGAGACCGGAGTGGATGATGCCTTGATTGTAAGCACACCATGATGTTGGAATATGCACGAGAGATGAGAGGGTGTTGGCTAGTCGCTGCCCCTCCTCTGCGGCATGTAGTCCAAGTAGGCAACCCCTCTTGCATCATACCTGTGATGAACCATGGGTGAATCGCGGTACCCTAGCCACGCCCCTGATCCCACGCCTGCGGACTTGGAAGTTCGGAAAAGCAAACAAAACCTCCTGCGGTGACTGAAACGGCCAACCCCAGAAGGTCCCAAAAAAGTAAACACCCTCCCAGTTGCCAACTTACCTGGGTACCGGCCTGCCAACTGTGGGACAAGTGGGACGAGACAATCAAAATCGGGATGATGCGGCGCAGTTCGTGCGCTCCCGTGTACAGATAAGCGGAAGCGCCTCCGCCGGTGAGCCCCTGCAGCAACTTAAACAGGTGGGAGTCGTGCTCGCGCCCAAGGCCTCTGATTCGCCAGGATTAGCGTTGCGACTACTGCATTTGGATTAGGAGACTGAGTCGCAGTCTAAGTCGTGTGGAGATTAGTGCGAATGTTCAACAGAAAGTTTATCGCGCTTTGGCATCGACACCGTACGTGATCTTCTCAGGGGTGCGATGCATAGCTGGGCAAAGGCGAGAACGGGCGATGGACATGGAGATGCGCGGGGCTGCATCGTTTGCGTGTTCGCTGGGTCAGGGAAGGAAGGTGAGACACGAGTGCTGACGCGACATGCAAGTGATGGACGCGATGCTGCGAGTGTCTTCGATGCGAGGCTGGAGTGGATGCTTCGCAAGGCTTGTGGGACCATGATTGCGGATACGAGATGCGTCGTACATACGGCGATTATGCACGACGGTGAATTCGTTTATGTCGTGTCGCTGGACGCCTGTCGCTAGGCTGTCAACTTCCGCTGCACGTAAGCTGCATGGGAATGGTGTGATTGCATAGAAGCGATTGGTGAGAAAAAAATCTATTAGATACTACAGTATTGTTTTGTCCTTATCTGTAAAATGTTCGATGCGGACGTTTGATGCCCAAGACGCCTCGGCGCCTCTACCATGCCAGGGAGGAAAAGAAATGGGAAACGTTCATCTAATGTGCCCTTGTGCCCTGATTGACGTTGTGAAAAAGAAATGTGATACGTCCGTGACCGTGAACCCGGTTGATAGTGTGAAGTGGACCCGTGGGGTTATCGGATAGAAAAAGGAAGGAGCGTTCGGCAGTCAGACGCTGATGGTCTAGCACTTGCCGGCCTGCCACATCTTGACAGACTTGACAGTCATGCCGCGCTCGGTGCCCTCGCCCCAGGTTGGGAGCCAGTCATCCTTAGCTGTTGCAGAGTTAGCATAGTGATCATAGTGTTGCGAAGTGGGTGTGAACATACCATTCCAGAAGTCGCGGACAGCAAAGTCACTGCCATCAACCCAGGGCTTGTTACCCTCGCCGTCAAAGAACCAGCCGTTTTGTGCACCGACGGCGACGTTGAGAATGAGGTAGAACTTCTCGTCGAAAGGCGCGTTCTTACCGCCTTGCTTCCAGGGGTCCTCGAAGAGAGTGCCGTTGCTGGTGGTCAGACCGTTGAAACCACCCTTGTTCCACAGCTTGTTCTTCTCATTGAACTTGAAGTACATGACCTGCTTGAGACGGCTGTCGAGGTACAGCATGAGGTAGTTCTCAGTCCATTCCATACCGAATGTGTGCCAGCTGGAAGCGAAGTCTGTGCGGCGGAAGAAGGCGGTACCGTGGGTGTTGATGTAGCCGTCGTGTTTGTAGTCGGGACCCCAATGAAGCGTAGAGGAAACGAAGTCACGGCCCTCAGGGTACTTGTACGAGTTACCGCGGAACTCAGCAATGTCGATTTCTCCACTGCGAGGCCATTCACCGTACTTGTCCTCTTCGGGCATCATCCAGATGGCGGGCCAGAGCCAGTCACCCTTGGCTGTCTTTGCCACAACCTCGACGCGGCCGTACTTGATCGACTTCTTGCCCTTGGTGGTCATGCGTGCGGATCGGACAGGAGGAATGATAGTTCCAGTGGTCGAGTTGGAGCGGATACCGCAAGACTTGTAGTCGCTGGATGTGCAAGAGCCGTCACCGTCTGCCTTGGTGATGTTCAGTGTGTAGCCATTGACGATCTGCTCCTCGGTAATACTGGTCGATTCGGTGGTGAGGGTGGGGACAATGTGAAGACCTTCTGCGTCGACGAAGCTGTTCTTGGGGTCGTTGGTGGTCCAGTCAAACTCTCCGTTTCCGTAGCCGCCAGTCTGGATCTCGTAGCCCCAGTTGGCGGGGTCGATCTTCTCGAAGTTGTCTTCCATGATAAGACATTGCTCAGGTATTTGGGCCTCTTGCACACCAGTGTACATGATGTATCCACTGACACAGAAGCCGATGATGATGAAGCCAAGGGTGATCCAGTTGCCGACCTTGGTCTTCTTCATCCTTGGGTCGTCGACCCATGGCTGCTCACGCCTAACATGGAGATTAGATCAAAGTTGACAGCGGGTGGAATGGGTACTACATACTCGCCCCGTAGCCTATAGCTTCTGAAGGGTCGCGGTTGTTTCCGGATTTCGGAAGCGCTGATCTGGCTCCCATATATAGGACCGAATGACAGGTTGGAAGGGTTTCTGGGAATGTATGCTCCCTGGTTTGAGGACTCGGGACGCATCCTTTGTGACATGCCGGCAGGAAGGTCTGGGACATCTTGGGAGTGGGCCTGAGGCGGTGCGTCCTCCTCAGGGCTGGCCTTCTTGTTGCGCTTGAAGAAGGAAGGCATTGTCGTACTGTAGAATGAAAGTATCAAAAGCGGAATCGAAATGCCAAAGTATTAGCGATGGGCAAGGTAGTTTATTGCCGTATGCGACCTCGTCTAAGGAGATTAGAAGAGTACACAAAACGACGCAGGGGACGTTGTTGGGAGCTGAAGTATCGATACCACAAGCCGAGCGAGCGCCGCGCTGAGTATGCGGCACCGATAAATCGATAGTAGCCTCAAGCGGCGTCGGAAAGAGCGAGGTTCACGGATTCCAAAAGCCTAGATTTAGAACATTCAACAGGCTCTAGGCGTATCTGCCGTTCTCGACGTGATGGCTTCTGCAAGTGCAAGGGGCGGGCAGTGCCCATGGCAGTTTCATCCCAGTCGCTTGTTACGGTCTTGGAAATAGTGCACAGTAGCGTGGCTGTTTCTAGCGTTCGTTTAGACGCAGGTACGTCAGGAAAGATGAGATAGGCGCAAAACTAGTGTGACAGCCTTGCAGTCAACGTGCCAGGGGGTAAAGCCACACACCGCTAAGGATACGGAAGGATTTGACCGGCCGGTGCTAGGCTTGTGCTTGAGGCTTGACGTTGGAGAGTTGACTTGGATCTCGGGCGCCACGGCACATCAATCCATGGTTCATGTTTTGTCTAGCGCCCGGTCGATCGCTTTTCAAAACCCGCGCGATCTACACTTGGGTTTTCCACGCTTGTACCCAGAAAAGTGTGGACCTGTAGATACGCCTCCGTAGCCCTTGATGCAGCCGTCTATGCATTGGCGGGGCAGCCTAGACGCGGCTTGCCAGTATGCAAGCTTCTGATGTTGTATTCTCCCCTCCGTATCTGCACGTTGGTGGCTAAATCCTGCACCTCGGCTTGCTGACCAGAAGCTGTTGATTGACTTATCGGCGAGCCGGCTAAACGCACTAACCACGACGGGTGTCGCATGTCTAGTAGCTCCGCTGCTGCAATCGAACTCTGTTGACTAGCAACTGGGCTGACTCGAAATAACCCAGGTGGGCATCGCGTCATGCAAAGTTAAAGAGTTGAGGCAGAAAATCTGTGACGTGTGGCTGATGGTGGCGAGCTGCTTTGTGTGTTGTTCGATATGTAGACGGGGGTACAGGATCAATAGAGGCGGAACAAAGTCCTAATCTTAACCACGGGAGAGTCAGCAAGGGTGCTTATCAAGGGCAACATGCAGTAAGCTGCGCATTGATCATTGGCTTGTTTGCGACGTGGGATTCATCCGCTCCCGGAACGTGGGCATCCTGTAAAAGCAATTTGCAGGGTCTTGTCCCCCTTCTGAGGATGTGTACCGCTCGCCCAGAGGTTGTCGGGATGGCGCACGCGTGGGCCAGGACCTCATCTTGGCTTGCAGGACGTCACTGTATTTGCGGCGTAGGGTGCCGGCAAGACTGAGCGGTCCAGCGCTCCAGATGCCCGGTTCGGCGCTGAGCTAGGCGGCCAGCTGTCTCCACTTCCGACCTGACTCTTAATCGCAACGTAGGAGGCTGGCTGGACAGGTCCGCTACGTGACGCCGAGGAGCTGACCGAACGTCGAGAAAAGTAAATTCTCCTCCGGCGGAACGTCAAAAAGTGGTGGCGCACGCCCAGTATAGCAGCGGCTAGGCTAAACCGTTCCACTTAGCTCAGGCACAAGCGTGGGCGTGCAAGGTACCCGAATGCGACAAA